ACATTACATGAACGATCTCAAACATTGTGTATGCTCAATCTAATGATCGGTAACAACGGTCCGGACAAACTACATAAAACAGCGACATCTAAAAGAAAAAGTGAGGACAAAAGACAGTCAAACATAATCTTATAAACATGTAAACAAAGACGGCATCTGACTTTATTGTGATCAGAGTGTCCGTCCTGTGCGTGCCTGTAGCCAGTATTATGGCCATTGTTGATTGAGGGAGCACTGAGCTGTTTTTATTCAATTAAAGTTCCCCGGGGGGCGCAGCGGCAAATGAACTGAGCCTAACAAACCCCCGTCTCCACTCATCACTCTGCTAATCAGCACTCTTAACTGTGACAGGCTCCACTACACAGCACACAGTACACGCAGGAGCAGCAGTACCACTATATGACATCTGTCTTAAAGCTCACACTGAAACACACCCATGTTCTCGCCCAAGTTTTTCTGAAATGATCCACATGGAGTCCAGATCTCTCGTCTTGCATTCGCAGGGCACCCATGTGTCTGTTCATCAATGCATTGGATTTTTCAATTGTTTTAACCCTTTAATGTTCATTGAAGAAAGCAATGTGATTTTGTCTTCTTTTCATTCTAAGATGTAGGAGCACTAACAACAATAAAAAATAAAAATATTATTTTGAGTTTGATGTGAGTGTTCCTGATAGAGATGCCCTAGCCTGGTCGTACCACAAATTACATTTCGTGCTAAGGTCTGGAGGTGCTCCATTGAGCTTCGTTAACAGGTGGGAGGGGTTACCTCCTTTTCCAGATTGAAACGATTGGATCTGAGTTTACCGTCACATAATATGTAATGAGCCCCAGTGAGTGATTAGCATTTAGCATAGCCATCTCCTTTGCGGCTTACAGAGCCCGTGAGGAGTAGCGCCACAATATTTGCCGGCAATGGCTTTTGCTAAACATTCCTTTTGCTCCGGCATCAATTTCTTGATAGAACCAGACCGGAATACTTTACAATCGCATTCTTCGCCATTTCCAAACTTCAACCTGCCCGTTCGGCGCAAACTTGTCACGTCACCCAACCTAACTACAACACTCACCTCCCGCAATCGCTGATTGATCGGATGGAATTCAACCGGTTGTAATTGCAAACACAGGGACCAGACCCTGACGTTACATGCAGGGAAATGATGATTGAGCGGAATGTACGGATGGCTAAAGCCAGGCTAGAGATGCCCCAAAGAGGTAGATTTCAGTTACAAGTTACAAGTAGATACAGTGAATCAAAAAGTGATCCACCAAACACTTGTAGACACCATTTAAAGAAGGCACGTCAAATTCAGGCATGTGGGCCAAATCCATCTAGTGAGACCATTGTTTTTGGCCCTTGGATTTATTTTCAATTATCTTTATCGCTGTAACTTGCAGCATTGATGGTAAGGGGCTACTATGAACAAATATTTGTATCTGTTCTAAAATGTTAACTAACATGTAAACTTTTTTTCTTTTTTTAACTTTCAGTCAAATCTAAACTTACTAGAAAATATCCAAACTCATGTCAAATACAGTGAATAAAAAAATAAAAAAATACCCTTATACGGCGCTGTGCAGATGTTGCCAACCTATTAACAGAAACGACCAGGCTCCTTATCGTAATTTCACCGTGTTCAAACAAGGATGAAAAACGATGTAGTTCTAGCGCCCGGCCACGTGAGCCCCACGTCCCCCCAGCAGTGTACTCACTTTCTCTGCAAGACGTGAAAGATGCAACATCATTCTGCATTTTAACAGCAGCTGCGAAAATGGAAACCGAAGCTAGAGCTTTGCATGGTTTTGTTTGGACGAACGAAGGAATAGAATCCTCCTCAGTGTAGCGCTCGAAGCACACGTAGCTAGTTAGTTTACCCGCCGCCATTGTTGTTTACGTTTGTTCTCGGCTACCGCGCATGTCCAAATGTACGTGCGGGGAGCAGTGGGGAGGTGGGGGTTGTAGCGGGCAGAGAATTCACACCTTTTTCCCTCACGCGGGTGTGAAAGAGAGCCCCGCTGAGCAGCTTATCTGAGCTGTCCCACTCTGCAGGCTGGATAAGAACACTTACGTTTTCACCCCCCTGGAACACAGACTCCGTATGAACGGGGGGTAGCAACCAACATCCAACTATAGCGCTTTACTGCCGCATTGTCTCCGCATAAACGAGGCCTGAGTTCGACTCCCCTTATCCAAGTGATAAACACAAAAAGTATGGGCCAACCTCACAGTAGTTATCTCAGAGGACCGTTTAAACACAAGAAATGCAATGATGAAAAAACATATAGAGCCATTGGTCCATAAGGGGTAGAAGACCAAAGTTCTTGAATTCTTGATAAAGTCCATAAATGTTATAGAATGTCGAGTGTCCTGGATCATCAACTCTGTCCTTAGACCCTCCTGCATCAGCAAGGAAAAACTCTAAAAACCCAGTGGGAGAAAATGAGATAATTCCATAATGGCTGAATACATATGAAAGTAAACTACTTCAAAAAGTCCTCTCTATGTGAAGATGTTCTCCAGGGGCATCTCTTGAACTTTGCTTTGGTCAAATATAACAAATACCATATTCACTGACCTAAACAACTAATAAAATAATAAAAAATAATAAAGTAATCAAAATATTAGTTAATTGCAGCCCAATATGCAGCATTTTACAATACATTTAAAGTTACGAATAACTTGATTTTCATGTTCCTGCCCACACGCTGCGGTCTAAACCTCTGGCCTTAGAATAATCCCACAACATCAACGATATCTATAATAATGATGTGGTTTTTATTGCATCTTTGTAGCAGGGAGAGAATAAAACACACATATTGTATAAACCCTGATGGCGGTGCTCTGCGAAGGGCATTATTTAGAAGCGCAGCTACCTCCGCATTACACAAAGTGAACAGTGATGAAAGAGAGGCTCCGTTAACCAGTGAATTGGTTGCGATTACTACCTCCCTGTTAACATCCGGGCTGCTTCAGTTCATAAAGACAAACATTACGGCGCCATTCGTGTGCTTAAGCAGGTGTGTCTAAGCACTTTCCACCTGATTACCTAAAATCTGAAGAGAATGTGTTTGGAAATAAGGGGGAAAGTAGACAGAACGCCCACGTGGTTCTGGGAGCAGCAGTAGTCTCCACAAACAAATAAAAACATCTGTGTTTTTATAGCGCTGCGAAAACTTTAGAGCGTCTCCGAAGAGCAGTTTATTCAGACGATTTTGTCCTAAGAATGAGCTTCGCGGTCCAGAGGGAGGAGAGGCTTGATTTAATTGAACTACATGTCACAAGTAAAACAAAATAACAAAAGCATGAAATTGTTCCCATGCCATAGATAAGACCATACATCATTCAATTGGAGGTCTATAAAGCTGTTTTTCAAACCGTGTACAATCAAAAAAACACAGATATGTAGCTGACGGGGCTGGGCGATAGGAACAAAAATAATATCACAACATGAGAGGGAAATATCCCGATCATTTTGAAATTCACATTATAACTAGCAATGGGAAAAATCTTAAATTTGTATTAGTCCAAAATCCAAAGAGGAACCAATGGAAGAAAGGAGTTCTGTTCGCGGACCACATTAAAGCTGGGGCACCTGACGTTTGTGTTTAATAATTTTATTTTTTCCTAACAGAAGGAGCTTTGTTGAAATTGCATTTTGTGAACAAATCAGAAATTTGCGTCCACAAATAATCATATCGCATCATATCAATGTGGCGTGGTTCTACATACTGAAACACATCAACCTGAGCAGGGCGATCATGGTCCAGTTTGTCTTGACCCTTTTAGTATCAGTGGTCAGACCCTTCCCATGAATCTATCTTCCACCACATAAACCGGATTCTACTGAGACAAGGTCATCAGATGCATTTAAGTGCACAGGAAAAAATCCATGCTTATATTACAGAGATAATGTATGTACTAGGATGCATATGGGCATCTCACTCGTATTGAGAATTGTGAAGATGTATTCGGTCCCTTGTTGCAGTGTATTTTGTTAATTTTTGTGAAGAAAAAGTTAAAAAAGTGTGTTTCAATATTTGATTATATTAACCAAATATATTTTTATACGGGATAAATTATAGTTGATTAATTGATCAATGGATTTATTGTTTCTCTAAATCGTATTATCAAACGCTCAAAATGATTATTTTGATAATAATAATGCGTCCCTGAATGACGCTTTTTGGACACTCAAAGCCCTTGTTGATTCACTTCGCGGACAGTGGTGATACAATATCAGTACGTGCCTACTGCCCTTCTGACCACCAATCATTCAAGCACACAATAGACTCACTCTATTCACTGTAGGTGAAGTGTCTTGCTAAAGGACACGACAACAGTTTGGCACTGTACAGCCACAGCAGCCCCACTGTAGCACCTGGTGTTCCCAGAGGTCTCCCATCACAGTACTAACCAGGACCTTCCCCGCTTTGCCTCAGAGGTTTGACGGAATGCAGGTGGCACCACATTTTATTTGAATTACAATAATTTAAATGAGAAATATGTATATACAGACTTCAGTTTTACTGGACTAATCCTTCGACAGAAAAGTTGAGCTAAGTTTCAAGGGCTATCTTCACCCTTGAAACTAATGTGCCACCACCTTTACCTTCTGTGGGCTTTTTCAAAATTGCCACAGGCAGCTCCTTTCACATGTGAAAAAAACGCAATTGTGCATGCGTTTGCCGGCATGAGCCCCAAGTGCATTCAAAAGTTCACAGTGGCTAAACTAGATTGGTCCGGAAAAAACCCACCAGCATTGACACACATCTGGAACGTAGCTTTGGGCCACGAGCAGACTTTTGGACCATCCTGAAAAGAGGTTTTTGAGAGGAAAGAAGGCAGCATTCAAAAGCATTGGATAATTCTCTTTCTGGGTCCACTGCTCCAAACACTGCTCTATCAGACAAAGCGCCCTGCATGGAGACTGGGACCAGAGAGGGCACAAAAAAACTCTCTTCCCCTGTACAGTAAAAGCAGTGTTTTCATGAGTGTGACTTCAATCAAGAGCCAAACAACGGCGACGGCGCAGAGGAGGCCCCTGGTGATGCTCTCGTCCTGAGCTGAGCAGCGGCTGGGACAGTAGTGGGAGGAGGTAGTCCCGCCTGAGCCGTCCCAGCGGAGTGAGCCTTACGTAACGCAGCGTGGCAGCCACCTCCAGGGAGCTCCCTTGACACACGTTTTCACCTGCCGCTGGTGAAGACTCCACATGTCACTGCAGCTACAAGAACAAGGAGCCTATGGATAACACGACTCCACCACATTCATAATTGAGCACAGGCAGAACCAGGGCCTCGCTTGACTTTTCATTATGGAAACATCCGCAAGGCTCTACCACCAAGTTTATACTTCCAGCATCCAAACATAAATACAAATTGCACAAGAGGTTCAGCTCTCGACAGGATTTAAGCGAGGTCATTGTTTTTCTATTACGTGCATTTGGCTCTGAGATGAATTTGAATCTTAAAAGCAAACACTGGCCTGTAAATTGTTCATAATTATTGATTTGGCACACGCTACACAGCCACATGGAGCTGTGTACCTAAGTGCAAGAAATTAACCCTTGATTTGATGATTTTTTTGACAATGAACCATGAGAAGTGTAGAATATTAGTAGTAATGATGATACAAAGCTGGTTTACACACAGCGGAAGGAAGTCAGTCCGTCAAACTCGTTAACATCGCTCACGCTGCAACAGACTGTTAAAATCCACATTCAGATTCAGTTTATTTGCCATTTGCAGTAAAAAAACCACATTGGAATACATTAGCAAAAAGTCTCTAGTGTGCACAGACAAATACAGACATAAAACAACATTAAAAAACAGAAATAAAACAAATAAACATGCAGTAATTATTGCAGTACCACTGCCTGTGGTACCACTTCTGCCACTTCTTTAGGCTACTTATTTAATCAAAATAATACTGCTTGACAAATGACACTTTTGAGGAGAATGCGAGATGCAGAAGTGACATACTGCACAAAATGTAAGGCTGTGATATTAAAATGTTCCAATTTCTTAAAGGTATTTTTATCCAAATTCAGAAATGAAATGCTTTTAAGACTTTTAGACCCTATTGGAAGCCTGTAATATGTCCACATCAGTGCCATGGAGCATATTCTTACAAAAGCAGTTCTTCTCCATCAAAATCTCACCCATCAATAACAAAGCTGTCTTTCCAACAACAGAAAACAGTGGTTAGACAGATCCATAAACTCAACCATACTCTCTTCTCACTCACTCACTCATGACAGGTAGATGTTTATGCCAGACCATGTTAGAAGGCCTTTGTGTTGTGAAAGTATCATTCTTCTCTAAAACGTAGCCTAGACTGTTCCCACTCCTCTCCGGCACATGCACAGCGTCCGAGGTCGGCCACACGCTGCAGAGCCGTCCCACCCTGCTATTATCCGTGCGGCGTGAGTGTAAAACCCCTCTCTGCATTTTTATACCGCGGCCCCTGTCCGTCATCACAGGAGGAGGTGAAAAAATAAAGCCCTACAAATATAAGTGCACTTTCCTCTTTTGGCCTGACACGTTCATGCGGTGAGAGGGGGGTGGAGGGAGGGGAGGGGAGGGGAGGGGAGGAAGCAGCTGCAGCTCAAAGACTTCCTGAACAAGCGCAGTAATATCCTCTGGAGGGACACCTGGGCCTGCTGCCATTCACACAACACTAACTGGGAGCTGTGTATAGGTGCACGGTGGTATTGGCACGTTGTGGGGACTTCCGCACACACCACAGCAGACAAAAATCAGGCCCCAACATTGCTCCCCGATATCATTATGTATTATAATTGTTTTTATTTGACTAATACAGTATGTAAACAAATAGATATTAATAATAATAACAATACTACTACTACCACTACTAATACTACTACTACTACCACTACTACTACTAATACTACGACTACTACTACTAATTTTGTGTAAGCTCTCAGTCGTACAGGGATTAGTCAAAGCAAAGGAAGGTTTCTCACCCATCATCTGTACTTCTTAGCAAGTTTTCCCGACGTTTCGTCCTCAACCTAGCGGACTTCTTCAGGGAATGAATTCTCGGACCGCGCGTTGGAGATTTATAACCTATGGGTGTGGTTAGCCACACCCTAATCCTGATACTAACTCATAAACAATCTAAGGTCTGCTTGATGTAGAAGGGAGCAGGTCTAACGACCCTGCTGAGGCTAACGACCCTAACTCCTTAGCATGTCACAGACCTATTGTCTGCTGGGATGCTCAAGTGGAGTGCAGGTCTCACCCCTCCTAACTCATTAGCATGTCACTGACCTTGTCCCAAGTTAGGGCGTTGTTTTTAGGATGTCGTCATAGATGCGAGGCAAAACAAATCTTAACCCTCCTCCTCTGTTAAGAGAAGGTTTTTGTTTCCTCACAAAAATGGCTTCTTTCACTCATCTCTCAAACCAATTCTTGGTTTGAGAGAGGCTGTAAGAGAAAGCCTCTTCGCAGGCTGTAAGAGAAAGCCTACAGAAAGACGCCACACTAGGGGGGAGAACAAAACTAACAGCTGACCACATCTGTGAAATACTTGAAATGTGTCTGAACACCACGTATTTCCAATTTAGAGGCACCTTCTTTAGACAGATTCATGGCTGTGCGATGGGCTCCCCAGTCTCTCCTATAGTGGCCAATCTGTATATGGAGAAACTGGAGGAACAAGCCCTGGGCTCTTACCAAGGGACAGCGCCAAGCCATTGGTTTCGATATGTAGACGATACATGGGTTAAGTTAAAGAAACAGGAAGTGGAACCATTTTCAGAACACATTAATTCGGTGGACCCTTTTATAAATTTCACTCGCGAGGATGCTAAGGAGAGTGAACTCGCCTTTCTAGATTGTAAGGTCATCATACTGGAGAACGGACAATTAGAGACTGAGGTCTTCAGAAAGTCCACTCACACTGACCAGTACCTGGCCTTTGACTCAAATCATCCGCTACAACATAAACTCGGGGTCATTAGAACACTTCAACACCGAGCCCACCAGGTCCCCACAAGCTCGGAGGGAAAGAACAGAGAAACCAAACATGTTCAGAGAGCACTTTCCAGATGTGGCTACCCGAAGTGGTCTTTTACTAAAGCCCAAAGGACGAGAAAGGCCAGAGACACAGTCCAACAGACAGAAGAAAGTAGGAGGAGAGGCGTGTCCTTACCGTATGTGGCGGGAGTTTCAGAGAAACTACAAAGAATCTTTAGGCAACACAAAATCCCTGTGTATTTCAAACCTTTCAACACGTTAAGACAGAAATTAGTGCATCCCAAAGACAAAACACCCAGACACAAACAGAACAATGTGGTGTATTCAATTAAATGTAGTGAAGAGGAGTGCACTGACCACTATATTGGAGAAACCAAACAGACTCTACAGAAACGACTTTACCAACATCGTAGAGAAAACTCTAGTGGGCCACAGTCGGCTGTTCATCTCCACCTCAAGGCCTCCAACCACACGGTGGATGACACAGAGGTTAAAATTCTGGCTCGGGAGAAGAATTGGTTTGAGAGAGGAGTGAAAGAAGCCATTTTTGTGAGGAAACAAAAACCTTCTCTTAACAGAGGAGGAGGGTTAAGATTTGTTTTGCCTCGCATCTATGACGACATCCTAAAAACAACGCCCTAACTTTGGACAAGGTCAGTGACATGCTAATGAGTTAGGAGGGGTGAGACCTGCACTCCACTTGAGCATCCCAGCAGACAATAGGTCTGTGACATGCTAAGGAGTTAGGAGTTAGGAGACCCTCAGCAGGGTCGTTAGACCTGCTCCCTTCTACATCAAGCAGACCGTAGATTGTTTATGAGTTAGTATCAGGATTAGGGTGTGGCTAACCACACCCATAGGTTATAAATCTCCAACGCGCGGTCCGAGAATTCATTCCCTGAAGAAGTCCGCTAGGTTGAGGACGAAACGTCGGGAAAACTTGCTAAGAAGTACAGATGATGGGTGAGAAACCTTCCTTTGCTACTACTACTAATACTAATACTACTACAGGGATCATGCAATTAGAATTGGATGGCAGCCCTGATAACCAGCCTCAGCCATCCTAGCCCAAAAGTGGCCAAAATGACGTGCGCTGACATGCTTGCAATACCACCCCGGGCCGATGGGGGTGGATCCAGAAGAAGAATTAGCCAATGCTAACATATAGCTTTAGCTGACCTCTCGAAAACGTCTTTACAAGATGGTCCAAAAGTTGGCTCTTGGCCCAAAGCTCCGTTCCACATGTGTGTCAATGCTGAGGGGGGTGCATTTGTTTGGTCCACTCTAGTTTACTTGCTGTGAATTTTTGAAGTCTCTCGTTCAAATGAATGGAGCTGCGCCGGCTGACGCATGCGCAGATGCGTTTTTTTCACAATTTTCTTGTGGGCGGGACCACTCGCTGCCATTTTGGATAGCTCCAGTAGAGCACATTTTTTGGCGCCATTAGTTAGAACGGCGGAGATAGTCATCCGTTAATATATACAGTCTATGCTCCCACCCCAGAAATGGAGAAATAAAGAGGATATAAATGAATGAATAAATAATCATAATAAACCTTTAGTTCAGTGCACATTTCAAAAAATTCTGAAATATTAAACATGTTCTGGTTAAAAATACCAAAAATTTTTAAATTTGTTTTAGCATTTTAGAATATTTTCAAAGATGGTTTGTTTGCAATACAAACCATTCCTCTCCATATGCACATACTATTCATTATGATTTCATCTTGATTGAAGAGATGAAAAACTAAAGGTGATGAAAACCTGGTTTATGACTAAATATGTTTTCTTCTGTCACCGTTTTTCACAGGCCTGTATTATTTGGCCTCTGTCAAATTTTTAGATCAGCTTTTTTAGATAGACAAATGAAAAAAAGAGGACTGCCTTGAGTCAATCAGCTCTCCAGTCACTCTGTGGTCAAATGCACAGGGCTCAAGTTTTAGGATCGAAAAGATAAGATAAAGACATCTTGTGGGCTGATTTGGTCACAACATTTTACTTTTAGAAGCTTTCTGTTGGAACAAACATGTATTATTTATGAAACAAAACGTGAGGTTTCCCAGCTTTGATTTGAGCACTTGTTAAGCTATTTTCTTTTCTTTCTTTTTTGCAATGTGTAAAGGACGCTCTTGCATAAAAGTATTGGCGTAAATGTTCTTATTAAAATGTGGGTTTACAAAGATATGAATATTACAAATTAGAACCAGTTGTGTGTACAGGTAAACAGATATGTTTTTAACCATGTTTAGTGTATAGTCTCACAACCTCAGGAAGACCGTGCCATATTTTGGATGCTAGGATCTGAAAGGCTGTCTCCCTATGTTTAGTCCTGACTCTGGGCTGGATAGCACTCTCGTCTCTCAGCAAGAAGGTCCTGGGTTCGAATCCCGGTCGGACCAGGGCCTTTCTGAGTGGAGTTTGCATGTTCTCCCCGTGTCTGCGTAGGTTTCCTCCGGGTACTCCGGTTTCCCCTGCCACTAACAATATGTACAATAGATCTGGCATGCGCCTCCTGTTTGGCGACCCCGCTCCCATCTCTGTCTGGAGTGAGAGGACAAATGCCCTAAAAAAAACAAAAACAAAAAACAATTGTAAACTGCTTTGTGACCCTTGTCTGTGAAAGGCGGTATATAAATAAACATTACTTACTTACTTACTAACAAGTCACCAATTTACTTTGGTGCAAGGCCATGGAGAGACTAGTTGAACGCTGCAGCATATTTATAAACATTATTTCAAGGGTTATAGCAACGGTTAAGATTACGGTGTGGGTCAAGGAAATAGTGACATTGTTTATAAGTCTACAATTCTCCAAACAGAGGACAGTTTTTGGCAATAAAACCCATGGAATTCTAAGTTTATACCATGTTGTGGAACTTTCCTACCCAGGCATTTTCCTTGGACATGCATGACAACATACCACTATCTTTGCCTATTGAAATGAAGAGATCGTACCCAGATGTGCAGCCTGCTCACTCATCACCGCTTGTTTATGTTTAGTTTGATTTTAAGACTTGATTTCAGCCTGGGGCTCTTGGCACGGAATGCCCTCTGTAATGTTCAAACCACACAGACTTTCAATCACATTTCAAACAAAAAAAAAAAAAAGATTCTTCCTCTAAAATCTTGCGCAGAGGCTACGTGGATTCAATACATCTTTAAGGTTATCACTGACAAGAAGAAAAGGGGAGCCGGCTCTGGATTCTGAACTCTTTATGGTTCAGTAAATGTCAAGAAAGTGAAAAGATCAAATGTTGTTAATTGATGCACTTTTCTTATGTTTTATTATATCTGTCATACACTGTAAAACTCAATCTCCCGCTGTGGATTCTGCCTTCCTCTGAGGACCCTTGTGACATCATCAGCATGTCGACTAGAAAGGAGGCGTCGCAGAGACAAGGACACACACTTAGTGACGTGGGAGGCAGATGTTAACAGACACTGACTCGC